TGAGCACTAATAGCTGGGAATGGAACCTGAGCCTTACCTCAAACGGCCCAGGCTACTGAGAATGAAGCAGCAGCATCCCAGCCCTTCCTGAAGCCACCGGAGGGAAAACAAATGCGCAGCTCGCCTCGCTCGGGAATATGAGGATCCACAGTCTGCTGGGAAACCATGGGCCAAAGGCCCTGGGTAGCAGCCAGAGCAGGAAGCCGGCCCGTGAGGACTGCTTGCGCTTCCCAGGTGCCAGGCCCTCACTAAGGGCCACACCTAGGTGCACACTTAACCTCAGGTGCTGTGAAGCTGGCACTCTTTTTAGGCCCATTTCACAGATACAGGTGCTGAGACCCAGAAAAGTAGGGTACCTGACAGGTAACCAGCCAGGACGTGACGGCGCTGGGGGCCAAGCCGGGGCAGTCTGCTCCACGGTATGTGACCTCGGCCCGCTTTGCCGCACTGCCTCCTCTTGCCTTTTCTAAACACTCAAAAGAAGGGGGCAAGTGAAACAAAAGAGACCCTACATTGAACGGCCAAAGACCCATTTGCAGAGTGCTACTGTAGCGTGTACCCTGTCTCAAGCCTCTGCTAAGAACTCTGCACTCTTCTCACTAGCAAACAGAGCAGTAACGCCTTCACTTATTAGTCATTTACCCAGCACTTGCTGGGGCCCAGACTCTGTGCTGGGCTCAGGCTGGGCCTTATATAATGCATATAAAATCTCCCTTCTCTGGGACACCCTCCCTGTCCTCTTGTGAGAAGAGCCTATTTCTCCTTCCTCAGAGCCCTCAACCAGCCCTCAGGCCATTCTCTAGAATGGAATTTTTCAAAGCAAGTTCTGGAAGACAGAGGGATTTGAAAAGACGTGCAAAAAGGGGCTCTGGGGCAAAGAAGTCTGGGAAACATTAGGTTAGCCTCCTCACTGCAGGACTTCTCAGAGCCTTTAGTGTGTCAGTGGCAGTGAGAAGTACCATGACAATTCAGTTTAGAGTACCTCTCAGATCATGTGAAAGGAAAACCTCCTCCTTTTTTTAAAAAACTACATTTTGTAGGGTTAATGAATCCTAGAAAGGGGTTTGGGACAACTTGCCCTAGATACAACTACCGTTGTCAAATTCGTGTTCAGTTATGACCTGTCAGTCCTCTGGCAGCATGGCGAGGCTGGGAACTCTCCTGCACATCTCCCCAGGTCCTGCCTTCAGCCAGGTCTAGATCAGAAGAGTTCTCTGCAAGTCGTCCTTGAAGATGGCACAAGCGAGTGCCGTGAGACGAAACTGCGGTACGGCGCCGATATTCAGAGCTGCGTCTGCCCGCATCTCTCATTCTGTCTCCAAGGCTAAAGGCATTTCTGGCCTATTTGAATCTCAGGCTATGTTCCCTCTTCACCCTGGACACTCCTTGTCAGGGAGGAGGCCCTCTGGCTCCTGTCCACCCCACTGGGTCCTCTCCTGCACTGCCCATGCAGTCCCCCAACTTCAGCTTTAAAGAACCGCAGTCTCCACAGTACACCGTGGCTTCTTTTAAATGAGGTTCTTACCTGCTGGTTGTTCCTCAGCATTCCTTTCCATGCAGTTCCCTCTCTTCAATCCTTAGCTGAAATCTTTTGGCTCTATGAAACCTTTCTCAGGACCCTGCTGGCTTCCCACCTCCAAGGTTGGGCATGACGCCCCTCCCGGGAGGCCTGGGCTATTACATCCTAAACCATACCTACCCCTCTGGATGTGTGGGGCGGAGGAGGGGTCCTGAGTGAAGGTGCTCATGTATTTTGTGCCACTGTTGTTAGGCAACCCTGCTACTTAAGATGGTTCCAGGCCCTTGTGAACTTCACACTGAGCCTTTTGAATTAAATCTGCACATTTTTATTCCCTGTGAAGCTCTGCCTGGCAGGGACAGGGTTGCATCCTATCCTTCTTATACCCTCAGAAGCTGGTAGACCCCTGACCCCTGTGGGGGAGGTCTGCTGAATGGACTCATGATTCTGTAACAAAATAAAGATGCAAAGCCAGAACCCAAGCAGACTTCGTCAGATCTTATCCTCCCAATGTGTTTTCTTCAGTTTCCCAACTTCTACAACCATAAAATAGCTTTGGCATGACAGTCATTTTACACAAATGAACGCATGATAGAGTGCAATGGTGTTTACGGAGCTCTGAGTGAAGCGGATCAGGCAGAAGAGGCAGGAAGGAGGAGGGGTGGACTTTGGGGAGCTGGAGCCAGGCCCCTGCGAAGGTGGCTGGGACTCTGACTCTACCCGTCTGTGGGTGGAAAAACAATCGCTCCCCTTGGACCGAAAGCACAGGGCTGCCGCCCAGAGATCAAGGTGCCATACGGAGCCTACTCAACCGAATGCACCATTCCACCAGTTGGCAGAAGAAATAGGAGACACGGAATTAGCCGAAGGAGGCCAAGAGTCATCTTCCCAGCTCTGCCTTTCCTCCTAGGTCTGCTCTGAATTCCCCTTTCCTCTGGGTCTCAGATTCCTCATTTTAAAGTGAGAAGGTTAGATTAAATCAGTGGCTCGCAATTTTTTGGACTGTGACTCACAGAAATGCATTTGACGTCTCAATTCAGTGTAGACACATATACAGACACACATATATCTAACTTAAGTTTCACTTAAAATGCTTACCCTTACTACTTGCTGTCTTTCTCTTTGTTTATTTTCATTTATAAATTCATTATATAAACTTTTGTTGAAGCATGATGTAAATATAGTAGCATGTACATGTCATAAATATGCAGCTTGATAAATTCTCACAAACTGACAACACCCATGTAACCAGCCCTTAGATCAAAAGACGGAACATTACCAATGCCTTGAAAGACCCCTCCTGGTCTCTCCCATTTACCAGCTTCTCCCCAAGGATAACAGCTATCCAGGTCTAACAGAATAGATTAGTTTCATCTGTTTCTGAACTTTAGGTAAAGGTAGAAACATTTCTTTATGCCTGGCTTTTTCTTTGAACATTCTGTTCATGAGGGTCATTGATACTACTATGTGCAACATTCCACTGTGTGGATATATGATAACTTATCCATTCTACTGTGGGAGGCCATGTTTTTTGGTGGACATGTGTGTAGCATGGGTATTTATCTTAGAATGGAATTGCTGGTATGCGTATGTTCAGCTTTAGTTGATACTGCGAGACAATTCTCCAAAGTCATCATAACAAATGACACTTCTGCCAGCGGTGAATGAGAGTTCCAGGTGTTCCAGATCTTTGCTAACACTAAGTATTGTCTATCTTTTTCATTTTAGCCATTCTCATGGGTGTGTAGTGTTATTTTATGGTGGGTTTAATTAAAAATTCCCTGACAACTAATAATGTTTTCATATGCTTTTTAGTTATCTGGATATACTCATTTGTGAAGTGTCTATTTGAGTCTATTTTTTTTTATTAGGCTGTTGGTTTTTTCCTTACCGATTTGTAGGAGCTTCCTCTTTTATTCCTATTATATATCTATTTAGGATATGAGGACTTTGTTCAGTATATGTAATGTAAACATCTTCACTTACTCTATGAGTTATGGGTTACTCCATTTCACTTTAACACATAATACCCTTGAACTACTGAATTAATTTCATGATCCACTAAGGGGTCAAAGCTCACAGTTTGAAAAACACTGCAGTACACAATTCTGCAGTCTTTCCCAGACCTGGATACCCCCACAGGGCCCATCTGGCTGGTGGCATCTGCAGGAGCTTTAGCCTAGAGCAGCACCCCTCTATGGATAGTCGGTAGCTATCTGCAGAATAAAGCCCATGGTATCAGCTATCTTTAATTCCCAAATTAAAAAAAGAAGTCCTTGTTCCACACCTTAAACGAAACCACCATTCCCAGTTCTCCCAAGTTTAGGAATTGCCAGCTCAGCAGCCCAGACAGAGGGGCCTCAGAGGATGGCGGAGGAGTGGGAACACCTCTGGAATTAGCCCTTTCAGCAGGGCTGCGGGTGTGGGCTCCCCCTCCTTGGAGCACCTGGGCCCTCAGGGAAGGCCCCATGGAATCTAAGCCAAGTCCAGAGGTTCCTTTTACCCAGCAGGTCAGGATGGCTTTCCTTAAACTCTGACAACTCCATGAACCATGGGAGAAGCCCCACACACCCTGGCTGCTTTCTCAGTGTCAAGGGTGCATTCCATGCAGTACCCTCCCAGCTCCTCAGAGCGGCCCTTTCCACAGATTTTAAGCTCCATGAAGGCAGGGACTGTGGCACTCTTTGTCAAAAATGTGCCACACTCATGCAGCTGGCCCGGCACAGGGAGAGGCTGACTGACACTATGGCCTGTGTTTTCATTCTTAAGTTATACTCCGTCCAGGCGGCCAGTCCCTGGGTAAGGAGTCATGATCCCCTCCAAAGGGCCAAAAGACACTCTGTCTCCCACACGTGCACACACAAGCAGACATGCATAGGCACGTGTGTGCATGCACAGGCATGCACCTGCATGCACACACGCATGTTTTACTCAGAAATCTGTGGGCTGGGTTCCACTGGTTCATGAGACACTCAGCTCATCTGAGTTTAACCCTCTCTCCTGATTTCCCAGGTTCTGAAATAGCACCTAATATATGGATAACACACACACACACACAAAATATATATATATAGGAACCTTTATAGTTTATAAATCCCTCTCACACTCAGTTTCTCACCTGATCCTCACAAGTCTTCTGAACACATACAAGTATTCGATGATTCTCAAAGCTCCCCAGGTCTAGTAGGGGTCTGGGAACCATCCTTCTGGGGACAGTAATCCTTCCTATGTGGGGCTAGAGCAATGGCAGCAGCTTCAAGTCGGCAGAATTTGTGTAGCTCCTCAGACCCACCTGAAGTTCCCCTTTTAACTGTATATTCCATGACAACCAGTCCTTCCTTGTCTAGTCTGAGTACAGTTTTCATTATATGAACATTTCAGATTTGGGCTTGTTTTTGCATGAGAGTTTATATGGGATGTGGACACTTTTCCCTTTTCCCTAATAAGCATGCCTGTGTATTCTCTCTTCTTTCCTTATTAGAGGCCTTACCACCTCCTGACTTGTCCTCCAGCCAAAGGTAAGGAGCTTCATCACCACTTACACTGCTACAAGGGCTACCTCATTCTGAACACTTCCTACATGCCAGGTATCAAGTGCTTTATGTACATTATGCCAGCAATCTCACACAAACCCTTCACCACATGTATTAACATTCTTATTTTGCAAATGAGGAAATAGATGCTCAGAGAGAAGTGACAGAACTGGGTAGGTCCCACTGATCCCCAAGTCCTGGCCCACACCAGTGCCTGGAACCTTGAGAAGCCGCAGCTTCTTTATTCCAAGTCAGAAAAACTGTCCAGATGGAGGTGAGTGGCATCTTAGTGACCATTTCATCCTACCCTCCCTGAGCTCAGAGTGATGAAGGGACTCTCCTGAGAGTACAGCGAGGGAGAACTAGGACTGGAACCTGGGCTGGTCCTTGGGTTTATCTCACCCGAGTCTCCCAGTTCTCCTGGAAGAAAGGACACTGGTAGAGCTCTGTCTGTGTCCCAGGCTGGTGCCTCTTTTTAAGGAGATATTTACAGTATTGGAAAGAAGGTGGTCAGGGCAGGAGCTGCTTTTGAAACCAAATTATGAGGAGTTATTGGAGGAACAAAAAATAAGAAAAGATCTCAAGGAGGTACACGATCTGTGTCTTCAATCATTTTTAGGATAGAACTGTCTAGTAAAGAAGAAAGAGGCTTGGCAAGATGTGAGGTAGAGTGGATTTCAAATCCAGATTAAGGAAGAATTCTGTAAAAATCCTAAATGTGGGGAGATACCAAGTTCCTCTTAAATCCTTGGAGGTTTCAATAATAGGTCAAATATCTACATCTCTCTATCTATTGATCCATCTCTCCTCTCTCTCTATCATATATATATACCTCTCTATCACCTGCCAAAAGGTCCATGCCTCTTAAGACCCTTTCATCTCTAAGATTCCACAAGATTTTGAAATGCACTGAAGTCTTATAGAGAAGGCAGGCAGTAATCTTGTACTCCCTGCTCACTGTTCTCAGGGGGAAAAAAAGTATTACAAAATGAGTGGAGACACAGTCTACCTACTAACGCATACTGAAGAGGTAGAGAAAAAAAACTACTCATAACATTAATTTAAATCATGAATACTCTCTGGAGTGTTGAAAAAAATCAACTCACTTTTCTTTAAATCTTCTTAAAAGGGTCTAAGAATAGTCCTTCAAATAATCCTTGAAGTATGCAATTTTAATTTGGACACATGGTAATTTCAGTCTACCTGTTGAAAGAGACAAGAGAGCAATCAGTCATTTCTGATGAGGATGCTGTTCTGACAAGTGAGGAAGAGTCAGGCAGCTGGGGTGGGTGGGGGATGTGAGGGGTGGGGGTAGTGAGGGGGATGGGGGACGGGGTGGAGTGGGGATGGGCAGCAGCCTTGGTCCAGGCCAAAGACTGGTTTATGAACACTCAGAGGAAAGGCAACTAAGATAGTGATCATGGTGCCTGGCACACAGCAAATGCTCAATAAATAATGAATGAATGAATGAATAAAAGGATGGATGAATAAATGAGTGCAATTTATCATCAACCTTTGATATAATGAGTTACCCTATAGGCTCATCTCCTTGACTCTTAGGAAGAAAGAAAATTTCCAGACACTGGGCAAAGGATGGCAAATGGCTCCAAGAAAGGTTTATAGTGAAGGGCACAGAATGAGGGCTTTGAAGCCAGCCATGTCTCTGCAAATCCTGGCTCTACCTCTTACAACTGTGTAACCCTGGGCCATCTTATTTACGTTTACTGTTGTTCTTAAATTGGCCACTTCATCTATTCTTTAATTTTCAGCCCTTCTTCCTGTCTAATTCAAGCATTTAAAATGAGAAATTTTCCTAAAGTGCTGTCTTGGTTACATTTTACTTTGATATTTCCTATTTCCTCTATCATTTATTTATAAAAGAATCTTATAATTTTTATTATCATTTCTTTTTTTGACCCATGGGTGGGTTAGAAGTGTTTTTGTTAATGTCTTTCAATATATATATATATATTTTAAATTCATCTTTCTGTTATTGATTTCTAGCTTAATTATACTGTGGTGGAAAAATGTGGTCTGTAGGATACTGATTCCATAAAATTTATTGAGACGGATTTTATAGCCTGGGATGTAGTCAATTGCTGTGAATCTGTGCTTGGAAAGAATGTATATTCTCCAGTTTTTCGGTGTTATTTTGGGGGAGTTTTTTTCAACCTCCTTATACCTCCTTTTCTTTATTTGAAAAAGGTACGTGAACAATACACATTAGTTCCCTCCTGCCATTTAGAACTACACTGACGGACATAGAGACTGTGCAGACAAAAACAGAATGTACAAACGAAGAGAGCCAGATGCACTGTTTCTTGCTTATGATAGGATTAATAATAATACCGTGGCCTTATAAAGCATTTGAAAGTATCCAAATGATGACCACGTTTGCCATGTGATTTCTTCTCAACGAACCCTTGAGGTGTCACCCAGGCAGTGGGTGGTGGTGGTGGGGGCAACACAGAGAAGGGACACATACCAACTGGTGTGGCTATTCACTCAGTCCTCCAAGCCAGAACCCCAGGATCCCTCTTTGATTTCCACCTCCCCTCCCTCTTCATACCTGCTCAGTTTGGTCTAGTCACTGTCTCAAATCCATCCTTGTGATCACCCTCAATGCTTACATAATTTCTTAGTCCAACAGATGATTAAATTCCTGTTTTAAAAGTACAACTCAAGAAGTAAATCCTGACAGGGTCTTCTTGGCAGGTATGATTCCCAAAAGGGGCTGGGGTAGGTGTTGGATTGTGGGTGCCATGATATCCTAATCTTGAAGGGGACAGTGATGTGTATTTCTATCAAATGGAGGCATAGGGTTAGAAAGGCAGAGAAGCTTTGTGCCAGTTGAGTTCAAATACTGTTCATCTAACAAAGCCCTTCCTGTGACCCTGTCTCCATCCCACTCCAAGTTCTTTTTCCCCTTCTCAGAGAAAGTTCTTGAGTCATCCGAACGACACTTCTTCTACGTCTATGCCCCACAAGTCACTGGTGTGGCTCCACGTCCCAAGTGTTCTCTTCGAGATCATGATGATGCTGTCACTGCAAAGTCCAGAGACTTCTCAATCTGCAGCTGCTTCTCTGAGTCATTCACTAGCAGAACCACCACCTCCTTCTGGAAACTCTCCTGCCTCGGCATCTGCAATGATTCTCTCCTGATTCTCCTCCTTTCCCTCCAATAACTTTCTCTGTCTTTTTGGCCGGTTCTTTTTTTCTCTGCCTCATCGTTAAATGTGAAAGATTAAAGAGCCTCCCCACCCTTCTTTCCCTCCTTAAATTTTATTATTTGAATGGGCATTTTCATAATTTAATTAGAACTGTTTCATTAAAATAAGAATAAACTACCATTTATTAAATGCATATTAAATGTATACCAATCACTGTGCTAAACATTACTTTATTTCAATTGATCACCACAACAGCCATCTGTGGTAGGTATTACTAAGATTCCTAGTTTACAGATGGGAAAAAAGCAGCTAAGAAAAGACCACCTATTCATCTATCTGACCGCACATCTATCTCTCTGCCCCAAAACACAGATAGAGGAGAAGATTGTTCATCCAGAAGTCCAGATACTAGGTGCATCTGAACAAAGGAACTGTTTCAAAGGCTTTTTTTTCTTACCCTTTGAAAAACATATATCATACTTTTGTAAAAATTGAAGAAAACTTGCTGGAGGTCATGATGTATGGGGAAGGAATGTGCTCTGCTAGGCTGACTGGTCAGGGACAGCCATCGCTGGGATCTGGCCAGGGTGACTGCCAAAGTTACCAAAACAGATCTGTTCGATTTCCCTTATCCATCCCCACATTTCTAAATCTTATTTATACATCAAGTCCAGGTCAAACCCCCTTCATTCTCGAAGCCTTCTCTGATTCTCCTCCCCCAACAGGCACAAATGGACCCAGACCCCTGCCAGAATGTGTCTGTGATGGCACTTGGCATTTTATCATCCATGGTTAACACTGCATTTCAGAAAGCATTTCAACTATCAGTTTCATGCTCTACCTTCCTTTCTGGTCTCCTTGGGGCTGGGAGTTGCAGCTACTTGATCTTTATGATGTTTTTCAGAACCAAGCCCAGTGCCTGGAACACAGACGTTCATAAATGACTGACCAATTTTAACCGTATGACATTGGCTTTGAAAGCGGGGGGTGCCCCCAAATCACTCAAATGCCAGCACTGAGCAGTGTTTTATGTACACAGCAGGTGCTAAACAAATACAAAATCCTCTCACCTTTCTCAATCCCTCAAAAAATAAGGATCAGGAAATGGGGACTGAGACAGAGTTTTCTAAAGGCTTGTGTTCACAGACATGTTGGGGTGGTGGCTTTTGACATTCTCCATGATGAACTAAGCAGAAAAAAACCATGTTTGGACACATTCTAGTTCCCCTATTCAGGAAATGAGAGTTAGATCTTTGAAGACAGACAGGGCTTCAAGATTTACTATAACCACCTGCTTGTATGGAGGAGAGCAGGGAGGTAAAACAACTCCATCCAAGAACAGGACAAGAAGGACAGCAGATGCATTTTACTTGCCCCCCTCTAGACTTGCAAGTGAAGCCTCTAGGAAAATGAGTGCTTTCTGAGTGGCTAAAAATAAACTCCCAGAAACTTCATCTAGATATATCACGGCTGCAATTTACAGCGTCTAGAACTTCAGCATGGTATAATTACCAAATGGATTACAATAATTTGCTTTTGGTTTAAAAGCTCTAATGAACACGACCTTCCAATGGAATAGGAAAATAAGAGGCTAGGAACCAGCCATTCCTCTGTCCCCTTCCAATGCTACAATTTTAATGCTGGCTGACATCCATCTACTGACACGTGGTGGCTACAATTACAATTCTGAGCTCTGGGCTTCCTGGGAAGTATGGCCTCTGGAATATAGCCCCCCAAAAGGGTCTATACTTATCCAGTGACCAGGAAGACATCCCAAATCACCCTCAAATGGGCAGGAAACCCCACAAGCAGGGAACGGTTTGTTGTGATGTCTCTGAGTAGGCAGTATCAAAGGAGGGGACCAAGAAAGACTGTCATGCAGGTAAAAGAAGATTAGACTGGGGTCAGGGAGGACCTCTGTTTGGGTTTTGCTTTATGTGTAGCACGAATAACAACCACTTAAAGGCCCTTTTACAAAATACTGATAAATAAGTAATTACCTGACAAGATTTCTATGGGCATTAAATAAGAAAAATGCATGAAAGGGTTTTATAAGTGAAGGCTAGTGATTCTTCTGGAGTGAATAAATTTCCAAAGCAGCTCTTTCTTATAGGGCATTTTTCTGACAAAACAGTATAAAATATTGGAGTAGGGAGCCAGGGGTTGGGCGTGGGGGTGGGGGTGCAGCAGAAATCCTCGAAAGTTGTCTTCTCTAGTTTCCTTCAACAGAGTCCAGGCAGAGGCAAGTTCATTTGTATTTTTTCTTCAAGATCTCCCAGCAGATCATTCTAGAACAAGGAAACAGGGACCCTGACTTGACCAAGAAACATGAACTACTTGCCTCTTCTCTCGTTCACTGCACCCAAACCAGCCCACCACCTTCCAGAACAGCCCCCCCACACTGAAGGCGGAGATGGCAGCCAGGCAGTGTGCAGGACCAAAGCAATGCTTCTCCAGCCGAAGAAATGCAAATGGGCATTTCCTGAGCATCTACTATATGCCAGGAAAAGTGCTGGGCTCTGCGACGTTACCCCAACATATGGTCACCTCGTGGCACTGCTCACACCTTGTGTGGGCCTGTGAAGCCTCCTCTCGCCTCTTTGTCTCTTCAACCAGCCCCTGAACAGAAAGACCTGGACCCTCATCCCCACTTTTTCAGCCTTTCAATCCTTAGGGATCATTTTGGAGAAACTCTGGTGCTCTGGTCTGTTAGGCTGGGAACCCCAAACTTGCCTGCCTCACCAGATTGCTTTCAGACAACCGAAGGGTGGGTGTGAAAAACTTTGCAAACTGCACCAAACACTCTCATTCAAGCCCTTCAAAAACTTCCTATTGCCCTTCACTACACATCAAATTTCTACCTGGTTCCCAGCCCACCTTGCTGGTCAAACCCTGTGTGTCCCCCTCCTTTCCTGAGCCCTGTGTGAACTGGTTGTCCAGCCATTATACTCAGGAAGCAGACGCTGCTTCCCCTCCCGGGAGTCACCTTCTCTCCCTTTAGGCCACGGCTTACACTTGCAGTCTCCTTCTGGGGAAAACTTCCTCTATTACACATTCTTCAGGGCACTTGAAATCACATGCTTATTTGAATGACCACCGAATGAAGGTCTACTCCTCAACGAGAACAGGGCAGGGCCCATTTTGTTTTGTTACCAGGATATCCTCAGGGGATGCCGGATGCTCAGAGGCCATAAGCTGGCCTGTTTTGTTCACTGATGTATGCCCAGTACCTAGAGCAGTGCAGGGCACAGAGTAAATGCCCAATAAACACGTGTCGGCTGAATGCGTGTGTACAGGTTGTTGGAGGGGATGTAGAGTGAGGGGTTGAGTCATGGGCTCTGGAGCCAGAGTCCTCAGTCGGTGCCTGGTCTCTCCCCTCAGAGCTGTATTTCTCTGGGCCAGGGACTTCCCTTTTCTGCATCTTGGTTTCTTCATTTATTCAGAAAGGGGTAATTGTGCCTACCTCCTAAAGTTCTTGTGAGGACTAAATAATAAACAACGTTCCTGGGACAAGGCCAGGCAGGTGGCTGGTGCTGGGCAAATGTAGCTCTTCTCAGTAAGACCCCTCTTTGCCCTGCTCTGACCCAGGCCACGCCCCTCCTCTTCCCTAAAGCCGGCCCAGCCTGGTTCCCCGGCTCAGCTAGCTCTCATTGCCGTTTCTCTGCCCTTGGGGCCCTTCCATGTAGTATTTGCTACTGTGGCTTAATGGTTACCCAAGACAGCGCCTTGTCTGCCTTGAGAGACCACAGCAGCCCAGGGGAAGGCCTTTAGAGAGGCGACCTAGAGAGGGACTTGGAAAAGGAAGCGAGCCAGAGGGTCTGGGCAAATGAAGGGGGCACACGGAGGGGTCTTCTTGGGAAGCCCACTTGAAGCCTGCTTGGAGCTTCTGCCTCGAAACCCGTTTCTGGGGGCAAAGCTTCTGGCCCTGAGTATGCCCTTCATGGGCTAAAAAAAAAAAAACTTTTTGTTTTGGTGTGAAATAAATGGTAAGCCATTAAGATGTAAAATGCAGCTGTCACAGTCCATAGAAAACAGACAGGTTAATGTGGGTGCTTAAGAATGCCATTTCCTCATATTAACCCCAGAGCAGCAGCAACCTATCCAGACAGACTCTGGAGGGCCCCGGAAACCTGCCATTTTTCCCTTTAATAATACTTAGTGCTTAATAGTTGATGTTTGTTTCCAAGTAGAGTTCGCTAGCTTACCTCCCTCCTACCCACCCTCCCTCCTCCTCTTTCTCCTGCCTAATCTAAGAATATCTTGGCCTTAGTTTTCTTCCTGCAGTCTGGGATAGAAGCATGCGGATGTGCATCTGGGTCACATCTGGGGTTCTGAACCTGCCTCCTGACTAGGTTCCCTTACTCCCTTTTACTCCTTTATATCCACCACCTCCCAACCAATCCATATGACCTACATGTTGCTTAACAGGGGGATAATCTAACTTTAAAAATGGTTAAATTTAAAAAATGGTTTTAAGTTCTTCCCTCAAGAGGTGAGATTCAGTTCCATGAAAAGTGTGAACAGCGATCACTTGCCTTCCTGAGAGAAACAAAGTCTGGCTCATGGCCCTCACCTGTCCAGAAGAAAGGCCAGGTGGTGGTCAATGCAAGGGTCCAGGGACAGGGCCTGGGCATGAGCTCTGGTTCCATTTGACTGGCAGTGTGGGAAAGGGACTAGAGTTTTCCCTGCTTGCTGGGCCGTCTTGGCAGAAGCTGGCACCCCAGCAACAGGCATGAAGTCCTGGGCCAGGCAGCGTGGACAACTTAGTACCTGGGGTTCCTCTGGCTATTGTCTGTTGTGGGTAACACATGGCCCATCAAGGAGTCCTGGGCCCAGCAGGTGAAGGGTGTGATTTTGGCATGGTCAGAGATTACCCACAGATCCTTAATGGCAAGACTTTCTCAGGCCTCAAGCACTTTGCACATGCGGTTTCCTTTGTCACCTAATCTTCCTGAATGTCCTTGAAGACACAGAAGAAGATCACCTCCTCCTGGAAGTCTCCTTCACCCTCTGACTAGATCAGGGGCCCATCCTGTAAGTGTCTCCAGCCCCTGAGCTTCCCCAGCTGGCATGATCCTCACCTCTATGGAATTATCTGTTTATTTGACTTGCTCCAGTGAATATTCTCCAGTGAATGCCCACCAGGACAAGGTGCTTTGCGTACAAAGA